GAATCCTTAAGCAGTAGGTGAAATAACAAGCGGAGTGTTTGACGACTTTTTTGAACAATGAACGAATGCAAACGAATCGAATGCAGGATGTGCTGCAATCCGCACGGTAGACGTGATGAGGGATCGCGTAGATGAATACAATACAATAAATAATTTTTTTATCAATTTCTGAAATCTTCAGCTCTAGAAGTGCTCTAACTGACTTATAGTAGTTAATGGCTAACGTATTAGCGCATAAATGCAAATCACCAATCAACTGTCTCAATAGACCTTCCTGGAGTAATTCCTGGAGTAAAAGTTGGAAATTATGCAAAATTTCGGGCAGAACTTCCTCAAGTCACATATAATGCCTTAAGCTAAAATTTCTATTAAATTGGATAGAAGATCAGGGTTAGAAAAAGCGTTCAACGTTAATCAATCCCTGATGGATGCGCCATGCATTCGACACCATTCGTAATATCGTTAAGGTGATTGTGGACACATATGGCTAATATATACTGTAACTCGCAGTTGCCTATAGATGTATCAAGTCTGTGCTGCTATCCCTCATTACAAATATTGCACCAAATTCGGTGGCATGGTGGCAGGACCTGCTGATCTCGAGGTTTCAGCTGCTCAAGAAATGAACAACTCTCGCACCTTTTTCGATCCCTTGCGATGTTCACCCAGCTCATTTGTTCATGTTCTCCAACTCAGACCCAGAAAACTACAACGTTTACGTTGCGTTCGTTGTTGATCGCCATCGTGGATTGTAGCGTTTCTCTNTCTCCAACTCAGACCCAGAAAACTACAACGTTTACGTTGCGTTCGTTGTTGATCGCCATCGTGGATTGTAGCGTTTCTCTCGTAGTTGTGTTATCCAAATAGGTTGATGAGTACGCGATTGGCGGCACTATGGGTTATGGCAAATGGAATGAATCCAGCTGTAAAAATGAAGGCAACACTTTCTTTCTAGTTTCAACAGCAAAAATGTGAACATTTTTGCGGAGGAAAAGGGCCAAAGGTTGTGGGAAGGATACCTTTCTTGCATTTGTGTTGCGTACCGCGTCCACGAGATTTTCTCTTGAAGAAGTCTGAGGTAGTTATAGCCACCATTACAACTACTATTGTTACCAACATAACGGCTAATACAGCCATTTGTGCTTGTCCATGATTCCACTGACCTGAAAAACGTTTATCACAGAAAATGAAGTGGTTAGCGAGTAAATCAGAAATGAAGTGCAAGCTTAATATATTCTATATTAATATGTATCCCTACTTCATTGATAGACATTGGACAAGTTACCCTAGCGTTTTTTAAGTCTTAAAGATAAATCAGAAGTCACTTCATATTTCTATCCGACACTGAGCAATATATTGGGGATTGGGCTTAACCCCTAATACTCGCCCTGCAATAATGAAGGAAATTGTGATCGAGAAATGCAGTTGATATTTTCTAATAAGCACTTGTTTTTGGAAGTATCTACTGGCCTCAAACAACTTCGGTAAGGTCATGTAGTGGACCCATGTCTTGCATTATCAATTACCGACAGTCTGCATTTTTAAGGAGCCCTTTCAGGGAAAGTTGTTCGTTTTCGAACTGTCGCGAATAACGATAGCTCATCTCATCGTCAACGTAATCTAGTCTGATGAGCTGGATATTTTGGTATAGTGGACCAGTCTGGCCCGTACCTAAGCCGCTCGCTTTCGCCTTCCTAGAAGAAACATAGGTGCAAGGAAGCAAGCAGTTCTTACCGAGCGATACGGATCAACAAGTCCTTGAGTTGAACGATCTATGAAAACCTAGCACGCCTTTCTTTGAACTGCAAAGAAAGAAAACCGTCTCTCTCGAATAGCAAATTTACATGAATCTACGATTGAAGAAAAACGTAGATGACTTCTCGTAAACTGCACGGAAATAAAATTTTGCAACCTAGAACAGACTTTGTATTGACTTCTTTAGAGCTCTTGAGAAAGAAAATCTCTCTTGACCTGACAATTACCTGAAATTGACGACTTGGAAGCAATGCTCTATGGCTACCTTTCAGCAATAGCGAGAAAATCAACTTTAAGAAGAGAGCCATTAGCCAGTTGGGAGTAACTCCCACGACCGACTTTCTATTAACCTCGGCATTGATCAAGTAATTCTTCGTATTTTTGTTGAGCAAACGCGAGGTGTTATTATTCTTTATTCACGAATGAGCTGACGTTTCGGCGGATTTCGCCTTCCTCAGAGCCTGGAAAGGTCAAGTTGACAGCAATCTACTCGGCCAGACGCCTCCATAACCAAACAAAGAAACTCTAAACCAAGATTTCAATCACATTGAACACAGCTTTGCACACTCACTGCTTTCTATGAGGTCTCCACTAAGTATGTCACGTAGAGACCAACCGCACAGAAATCACATGAAAACATAATGTGCTCCTCCCATCAGAATAGCAGTCTTATATACTGCCCTATATCACGCGTGATAATGGGACATTCTTCCCTGCGGTTCATTTTCGGATTTCTGGAATTAATCCAGAGTGCCTCGAGAGTTTTTCGCGCCTGTGTTCTTGATTCGCGTGCAAGGATCGTGACACATACTTCAAAGTCCTCCTCGTTATGTTTCTGGGTCCTATGCGTGCCTAGCGGAGTATTTGGTCTATGTTTGCTGGCTAGGTTTTCTTTTATGCGGACACAGAGGGGTCTGCCCGTTTCGCCAATGTATTCGTCACCGCACGTCTTACAGGAGATCAGATAAACTATACCCGAGCTCATGCAATCACCGTCTCTACCACTGGAGCAAATTATGCAGTTTTGAGTTGCACATAGACGGTCATATAGGCGGTTACGAACTAGCTGGCGCTTAAGATTACTCGGTGGTATTTCAACAACGCTCACCGAATTCTCTAAGCCCGCCCTTCTTAAGCAGCGTTTTATAGCTGTACTTATATCATTTGAGATAAAGGGTAGGATAAACGGGACCCTTCTATCGCTAGAGTTGTTGTCTGGAGGCCGTTTTCTGACATCTGAATTTGTACGTTCAGGAATGGAAGCCATTTTTCTTTCGGCTTTTCTCGGGTGAACTTGATATACTGTGACTGTTTATTTAACAACTCGAAACATTTGTCCATTTCTTCTTGTGTTGAGCAAAGAACAAAGCAGTCGTCTACATACCTACAGTAGAGTAGCGGCCCGAGATCAGTCACCGGTGCTTCCACCTTAGACATAAATGCAATGGCAAGGCTTGGAGCCAACCCTCTTATTTGAGCGTAGTACTTTCCAGACAATCTGAAGATTGAGCAGCTCAAGTATTCTTTTAAGAGTGCCATCAACTGCTCTATCTTGAAGCCATACATATTTGTTTTTCCTTTGTGTTGCATAAGGAGTTCAAGTATGGCTTGCATTGCGGAGTCATTCGACACGTTTGTATAAAGGGCGGTAATGTCGAAGGACTCCATCACGACCGCGCTGTTGGGCTGCGCAGTACGTAGACGATTAAGGTTAAAAACCGTGTTATCCTGTCCGTTGGCCCGTCTACGCAGCTAATGATAGGTCTAACCTTAAATAGTAATGGATCCGTAGACGCAAGATCATCGCTGGATACTAATTTATGAGTTTTTATAAGTAAGTGCAAGGCACGGCATGTTGGTAATTATCTCTCAACTTTAAGTTGAGAGATAACTGATGGTTTCAAACCAGCAGCCCTTGCCATTTTGGCCCATTCGTGGTTTAGTTTTCGGTATTTACTTTTGAATTCCTCCTCAGATGATGGGCGATAAAGCGAAGCATCTTCAAGATGCTTTTTTGTTATCTCCATATCTAGCTGATAAGGAATTACGACAAACTCTCCACCCTTATCACTAGCGGATAGTTATCCTGTCCGTTGGCCCGTCTACGAAGCTAATGATAGGTCTAACCTTAAACAGTGATGGATCGGTAGATGCAAGATCATCGCTGGATACTAACTTATGAGTTTTTATAAGTAAGTACAAGACGGGGCATGTTGGTAAGTCAACTTTAAGTTGAGAGATAACTGATGGTTTTAAACCAGCAGTCCTTGCCATTTTGGCCCATTCGTGGTTTAGTTTTCGGTATTTACTTTTGAATTCCTCCTCAGATGATGGGCGATAAAGCGAAGCATCTTCAAGATGCTTTTTCGTTATCTCCACATCTAACTGATGAGGAATTACGACAGACTCTCCACCCTTATCACTAACAGATAGTCTTATGGTTTTCAACCTTATCAGGTCTCGTACCTCCCGCATACCACGTTTTTGTATTTCAGTGAGGTTGGAGCAGTATCTCTTGGCGTGATAGTGATTAAGGACTTTGAGAGCTTCATTCGCAAACATCCGAAAATTAACATCAACTTCATTATTGGGCTCTTGTTGTCTAAAGAACGTCGGGGGAAATGGTGCTATTGGTAGTGCCCCCACTTGATGTTGTTCGCACCTATTTAGCGCTTCATCTCTAGCTTTTTTGCGGAGTCTATCTTGAAGTTCATGTAAACCACATGCAACCCTACGCAAGGTTATCTTAGAAATGGGTTCAGATGGTGAGAAACTCGGCCCCAATTCTAATAACGAGCGCGCACCGTCAGGGAGAGTCATGCCTCCTAACACGGTTAGCCTTGAATTTTCTTGCACATTATCTATACTATTGTGATCTGTTTGATGTTCCTTAGCGATATTTCGGCGAAATCCGCCGAAACGTGAGCTCATTCGTGAATAAAGAATAATAACACCTCTCGTTTGCTCAACAAAAATACGAAAATACCAGTTGGGAGTTTTCGTGAAGGCGGAACACAGCACCGAGGTATTCAATTAAGAATGCCAGACCTGCCTCAGATTTAACGCAAAGCAACGCTTTCTCGTGATTGATCCAAGATCCGGTCGAAGCGAGAGTGATTCCCTAAGATTACATGCAAGATCCCTTCCATTTTTCTTTCGACAATTCACTAGTCCTTTTCCTTAAATAACACATCCCGTTAATTCATTAGATGGGAGAAACCGAACATGGCCGATGACTCTGTCAAAATTACAATGGCAAGCAAACATTTATTGTGATTCCAAAACTGTGACCAACACCTTTAACCCCTGTCTTGCGAAGGACTCCCGTCAGTCGAAAAACTGGCCTTAATAAAAGATGAATCCAAAAAAGATTTTGAACGTAAATGATAGGACTCGTAACAATGTTTTTCGCGGATTTTCTTCGAAGATCTCCTGAAAAACACTGCGCAGGAACTGCGCAATGCTTTATAATGTTTCTTTATATACTTTATATGCATTATAAAAAAAAATCAGTCGAAGATAAAGAAAGGATCCTCATATAAAATGCTGAGATATTTGTAAAACTCCAGACCGCAAGTGTATGCAATGGAGAACGAACACGCGCTGTTGTCCTTACCGGGGAGCAGGGCGCTTCACCACCACACCATCCGGGTTCTTACTATCGCCTGTCTCTCAGCTAGTTCTATCGATCATTTTTGCCATCAGCAACAGAGCGTGTTCGTTCTCCACCGCATACACCTGCGGTGCGGAGTTTTGCAAATATCTCAGCATTTCATACGAGTTATATTTCGCAACATACCCTCCCATTAAGAAGAAAAAGGCAGTAAATAAAAGGGTTAAGATTCTGTTGATATGTTTGAAAAAACCGACCGTGACTTAACCTCGAGTTAGTAATACTATTTTTATTTTCTTTTATTTTATGTGACCCGTCTTCACGTCTACTGCACGGATCCCAGTATTTCCCACTTTCGATTAGCTTCCTCGCATCCACTGTCCACGAAGACCTTCCAATTTTCTTTGAGTGGCCTCGACTGGTGCTTGAAGATTTTCATTTCATCTTGAATGGTGTAGAATGCTGGTCAAACAATTCTCCCTAGAGTCCTGAGATAACCGCACTGGAGCGTTTCCATTTGGTGTGCAGAGAGTGATTTTTTTCAGACAAGTCCGATACAAATTTTTCGACCCCGGAAGGATGACAGGATTGGTTGGCCCGGAGAGGAATCGAATTACCACCGCACTCATGATAACAGGCATTACTACCGCTGTGCTATCCGCCCCATTAATAATACTATTTGATGATTCTATTCATGTAATTCGGTGGATGCTTTAAAGAATTAATGAAGACGCGTGTAGGTCAGTGATGAGCGGTGCTCTGCGCTAAACACAAAGTCGTTGGTTCAATTCCTTTCCCGGAGCCTACTAAGTTTCCACCATTTCGAAGGTGGAAAATTTGAGGCAGACTTATTTGAGAGAATAAGGACACAGTCATGATTTGTCGCTAGAGCTCCACAGAACATTTTTCAGAACAGATATACTAGTACGATTCTACGAATAGAATGGAGCCGAATGCATGGCGCCTTCCCGAAGACTAACCAAGAACGCTTTGTCGTTTCATTAGTGAAGATCTAATGTACAAATGGATAGTAATCCTTATGGTGCTGAGATATTTGCAAAATTGTGCCGTAGGCCAGATTCGAACTTGCGGTTAGCCTTTTCGGAGCTCAAGTGTTATCCCCAGCACCATGGATGGCTTTGCTTTGTCTTTTTCTCAGTCAGTTTTTGACCATCACAGTGCCATCAGCAATCAACCGTGAACGGAAATGAATCTCACCTGAGGTGGAAATTTTGCAAGTATTTCAGCATCATTATGATTGCATTTCACATAATACCCCACAATGATGGAATAACGGCCATTAAATAAAAAGTTATGCATTGGGATGTTAATCTGTTGAAAATCTCTTACCGTTTCCGTTTCATTTTCTGGCTTTTCTTAGAAGAAAATGCAAAATTATGTCGGAAATATGAATCGCACGTGACGTTTCCCCTTTTCGCAGATTTATTTCGTGACTTGCATGAATTCCATCCGCCATCTCACGTGAGCAACACATGGGAGGCTTTGCACCTTACAAAAATGGAATTATGGCTTGTTGCTAACAGACTAATATTTTTATATGTTAAATCCTCGTTATTACTTTAGAGAAGTCGCTGAACGCAGGACTAGAGTTGCATAGACTGCGGCTAACTCATGAGGAGGGAAGTCGACGAAAAGTGAGCCATCGAATTCCAACAAAACTACGTCGTAGCCGCTCAGCAAAGGAAGTTGATAAGATTTGGTGAAATAAGCTATTAATGTCGAAACTTGTAGAATACTGGTATTTCGAGCTATTCCTTTTTTGTCTAAGCCATAAATAAGGTTAACTGCGTATACTGGGTTTAGAGTAGTCCGGAATACATTCATCGCCGCATAGAAGAGGTAAGAGAATAGCAGAAGAGCATAAAAGAGATTTGTAAGAGGTTCATTGCAATACACATACGATCATTAGGTCGATCTCGCACCACAGCAAATTATGCGCTCTTCGGCGTCGGCAAAGTGATGGCAGATTTATCTAAAGGGATACATGCTATCGTATATGATTAGGCTAGTTATGTAGGCCAAATATGTATTCAATCACATCCATTGTGGTATGAAAGAGTTGAAGGCAAGGTACATTTCTAAGAGATTGAACCATGTCAAGCACTTGGCCGTTTTGAATCTCATTTTTATTCACAAAATGCTATCTCAGGGATTATTTCTGAAAAACATCTAGGGTGCCTTTCGCCTGAAAAAAAACGTACTTTTCCAAGCATTTTCGCTGTTCCTTTCTGATCTTAACAAATGGTATTTATTTTGAACTTTGTGTTAATCAGTGTATTTCTATACAATGATTGCTAATGCGATAACGGAAGACATCTTCGATTATTGATTACATGTCGGCTTACCATAACCCACATGGACTCAGCGCACTTCGGCTCTTTTCATCTACGAAGCAAACTGCTAAAATAAAATAGATGCTTACATTTCGTTTTCTATTTGCTCATAACTCAAATTAGGACTTTCTGTGGGATTTGATAAGTGTCTGGAGATTGGTATACAATTTTACCTTCGTCTGCCGAAAAATGAATGGAGTCCTCAGTCCAAAAATGAATGTTGGATAGTGTGAACTACTTCTCAACGGTTTATCGCCTCATCGTGGTTGGGAAGTGTTCTTGGGTGTCGGACTGCGATGTACAGCGAGGAGATTCGTCCCTCCAGCAGGGTCTCCCAAGCTGAGAAGAAGCACGGTGCTTCCATCCGAAAGCCAAGCTTTGAGTAAACGAATACTAGGATCCACCACCAATCTGGTGTCAAACTAGTCACATTGTGGCAATTCTCGCTCTGATCCATAAGGGCTGCGACTGCCTGTGGTGGCAACGACCTGGAAAGAATTTGGCCTGGCTGACCTCGGGACTCCAGGGAGCCACAATGGTTAGACCAACAAGACTACGAAAAATTGGGATTATGCTGGAGTCCGCATTGAGGACGGGCCATCCAACTATCCAAGTAAGTGTCAAGTACAGTATCGTTTCACCTTGTCAAGATTCATGAAAACTAATATTTGGGATATTTATCTATATCGTATCGTATGTTCGCAGTTAAAGAAAAGCACATGAACAAGATTTTATGCTGTTCGACAAGCAACAAACGTCTTACATCTACAAACATACGCTTACACAAATAAACACTGACATAAAATCCGATATCGAAATCGTTATTATCACTAATACTGTTATTATTACTATTATGCATTGAGTCGTTGCTGACTCAGAAAAATGTCTGAGATCAGAAATTTGAGTGAACATGTTGCGTTAGAAGATCTAAGACGTCTAGTGCATTATATAAACGACCATCATCGTATTCGTTCACATCACCACCATCGTATCTGTTTGTGATTCGTTGCCGTTCATTTCCGACCAAACCTTGACAAATGACAATTTGTATTAAAAGCTGAAAGAACGAGAAAGCAAAAGTATTACAGCATGTGAAAAAATAGTGAAACAGCTTTACGTCATTGTTATTAGTCACAATGTTGAGCACAACGGTCACTATAGTTACCAACAGACCTGATTCTATGGCGAAAACAAATTGTTAAAATATCAATTCATACCATTTTGTTCACTATTTTGTTCCATTCTCTATCCCAAATGGAGCAAATATTGATAGACTTCGTCAGCGTTTGTGAAAAGACTGGTCTTCGAATAAATCTAGAGAAAGGAAGTTCACTAGGGACAGTTTTGCTTCTGACACCTCCTCATTCACGCCCGACGGAGTGAACATCTCCAAATGTTTCAGCTATGTGGTGTATCTCAGCTAGGATGTCAACATGATGAACAATTTCGCCCAAGCACGGTAAGGGTACGACCTAGCGCTGACCTCCACCATCCTCATATTCCTCAGTGGTCGGAAAATTGGTATCATTCCTGTCTGGAATGAACCGACTTCCTTTAATCCATTTGGGAGCGATCTATCAAGGATATCACAAGACTTTAAAAGAAATCGACTCAATCTCTACTTAACGACATTTATAAGGAAGGCGGACCATCTATGCTTACATGATTCGAGAAGTCAATATGATGAACTACTTGCTTACCTTCAGAGTTGAAAAGGAGGAAGCGATCGACGTGAGCAACTTTCAAGAGGATCAAGGACGCAGTAAGGAAAATAAAGAACACCCGACTCCGTACGCATCTCTTCAACTCTCCGATTCTTCTTGCCTTATCGTATGTGTCGCAAACCTGTTCGCCAAGTGAACAGGACGAATGATGATTCAGCCTTATGGAACATGTAGTCGAAAGCAGGATAGTAAGAAAATTCCGTATTAGGTAAGCGATAGAGGGAATCTAAAGCTTCAAACTACGCCAGCGATGAAAAATCAAGGACGCTGTTCAACATAACAAATTTATAGACAAAGTGGGCCCGAGACGTAATGCATATAAACGAAAAGCGATGATTAACAGCGGTAGAGGATTGGATTTCTCGAGATATCAAACGCAATGCAGGAAGGCCACCGATTCGATGGTCACGGTTTTTACTGAAAATCCTGGAAGAAATATATGATGCTCAGTAAGTTCCTGGACCCAGCATCACCTGCTGGGTTACTTTTGCATGAAACAGGAGCAAATAGAAAATTTGCTGGGGGGGGGCCTGCTGGATTCACACATGTTCAACGGGTGTTATTAGAAAGTACAAAAGATTCCGAGCTACTCATTCTACGGATTCGAAAAACTGATTGCAAAACTGTCTGGAATTAGCTCCATCCAATCAATGTGTGAAGACCGTGAGGAAAACCAATAACGCTCAAAACTATGGATTTGCGTGGTTAAATGTTGCACGAGCATAAACCAAATTACAGAAATTTTAGGATGCACACAATAAGTGGTGGAGTTAAATAAGTTATATCTTTCTACTTCTGTTCAGCAAACACGAGGTGCTATTTTATTTCTTTATTTACGCACAAGCTGACGTTTCGGCGGATTTCGCCTTCCTCAGAGCCTGGAAGGGTCAACTTGACAGCAATCCATTCGGCCAAACACCTCCATAACCAAACAGAGAAAACGCCAAACCAAGAATTCAATCACATTTAGCATAGCTCTGCACACTCACCGCTTTCTATGAGTCTTCCACTGAGTATGTCGCGTGAAGACCGACCGCACAGAATTCACATGGAAGCGTAATGTGCTCTTCCCATCAGAACAACAGGTTTATATACTGTCCAATATCGCGCGTGATAACGAGGCATTCCTCCCTGCGGTTCATTTTCGGGTTCTTGGAACTAATCCAGAATGTCTCTAGAGTTTTGCGCGCTTGTGTTCTCGATTCTTGCGCGAGGATCGTAACCCTTACTTTAAAATCTTCTCCGTTATGTTTCTGCGTGCCATGCGTACCTAGTGGAGTACGTTTGCCGACTAAGTGTTTTTTATACGTACGCAGAGTGGTCTACCCGTTTCGCCAACGTATTCGTCCCCGCAAGCTTTACAAGAGATCAGATAGACTGTACCCGAACTCATGCAGTCACCGTCTCTACCATTGGGACAAATTATGCAATTTTGCGTTGCACATAGACGGTCGTATAGGCGGTTACGAACTAGCTGGCGCCTTAGATTACTCGGCGGTATTTCGATTATTGTTACCAAATTCTCTAGACTGGCCCTTCTTAAGCAGCGTTTTATAGCTGCACTTACTTCATTTGAAATGAAGGGCAGTATAAACGGGACCTTGTTGTCGCTAGAGTTATCGTTGGGGTACCTGTGGTTTCCTCTACACCTATCTCGAGCTACGGTTTCGTAGCCATTAAAAATAGCTATTTGCCGCACCAAGTTCCGGGACTCCTCTCTCTGTTGTCTTCCTGTGCACACGCTGGTAGATGTTCGAAACGTGCTTCTCACAAGCGCCCTTTTCGTGTGAGAGGAATGAGAGGAAATGTAATGAACTAGGATGTTTTTACTACTTAGCTTTCGATACCACTTCGTAATGTAGCCGTTTTCTGATAGGCTAATTTGCACGTTCAGAAATGGAAGCCAGTTTCCTTTTGGTTTTTCTCGGGTGAATTTAATGTACTCTGACCATGTGTTCAACTCGAAACATCTGTCGATTTCTTCTTGCGTTGAACAAATGACCAAGCAGTCATCTATATATCTACAGTAGAGTAACGGACCGAGGCCGATTACTGGCGCTTCCACGTTAGACATGAATGCAATGGCAAGGCTTGGTGCCAGTCGTTGTCCCATTGCAAGCCCTCTCATTTGTGCGTAATACCTCCCGGACCATCTGAAAATTGAGCCGTTTATGCACTCCTTTAAGAGTGTCATCAACTGCTGAATCGAGAAGCCGTACATGTTTATTGCTCCTTCGTGTTGTATAAGGAGCTCGTTTATGGCTTGCATAGCGGAGTCATTCGTATTCGACAGGGCAGTGACGTCGAAGGACTCCACCACGTAAGCGCTGTTGGGTCGCGCGTTACGTAGACGATCCAGGAACATTTGGGTGTTCGTTAGATGAGCTGGAATGTACTTCAACAACTGAGTAAGTATTAGGGCTATTAACCACGTTATCCTATCCGTTGGCCCGTCTACGCAGCTAATGATAGGTCCAACCTTAAATAACGATGGATCAGTATACACGAAATCATCGCTGGATATTAACTTATGGGTTTTGATAAGTACAGGACGGGACATTTTGGTAAGTCAATTTTGAGATGAGAGATAACTGATGGTTTTAACCCTGCCGCTCTTGCCACTTTAACCCATTCGTTGTTTAACATTCGGTATTAACTTTTAAATTCCTTTTCAGACGATGGACGATAAGGGGATGCATCTTCAAGGTACTTTTCCGTTATCTCAACATCTAACTGATGGGGAATTGCAACGAGCTCTCCACCCTTATCACTAACCGATAGTCTTATGTTTTTTGATCTTGTCAGCTCTCGTACCTCCCGCATACCACGTTTTTGTATTTCAGTGAGGTTGGAGCAGTATCTCTTGGCGTGATAGTGATTAAGGACTTTGAAAGTTTCATTCGTAAGCATTCGAAATTTAACATCGACTTCATTAATGGGCTCTTGTTGTCTAAAGAACGGTTGGGGAAATGGTGGTACTGGTATACTGGTACTGGTATTCAAATAGGTTAGTTGTACAAAACAAACTGCACATTAGGCGCCAGCGGTAGGGACGGTGATTGCATGGGTTTGAGTGCAGGTTATTTGACCTCTTGCAAAGCGAACGGAGCGATTGCATTTACAAAGTGGGGTAGAGTACTCTGCATTTGCACAAAAGAACGCCTAGTCGGTAAACCTAAAGTTGGTCTAAATACTCTATAAGGTGAGCATAGGTCACTATAACGGAGAAAATCTTGCAGTAGAAGTTACTATTCTCGCACAGGAATCGAGAACTTCGGTGTTTTGGATAAATTCCATAAATCCGAAAATGAACTAAGGGAATGCTTCGTTATCACTCATGATCACATTCAATATTTCGGTCTAATATTTTGATGTAAGAGAGCCTCATTATCAATCTGTGTGAACTCCGTTTAGTTGGTTTCCACGTGAAATACTCAGAAGAAGACTCATAGGAAGCGATGAGAGCGCGAAGAAGCTATTTCGTCTCCAGTGCACTTGAAATCTAGGTTTCGGAATCTTTTCGTTGAGGTTAGCAGGTGTTCGCTTCACTAAATTCCAGTTAACCTGGCATTTTAAAATCCTCAAAAAGGCGATATTCACCAAATCGCCAGCGTTTGTGGGCAATAAGTATTATAGCAGGAACCTCATTTCTGGTTAGCAAGAAAAGAGAGTTACATTACTTTGAAAAGCACTCATTAATGACAACCTTGCTGTCATAGCTTAATGATGATAAATATTTTTGTTCTGCATTTTGCCGCTTACGGTGCAATTTAAATTGAATATTTCTTGACGGTTTACTGACCCACCCATCGTAGTTGAGATGTGTTCATGGGTATTGGGATGCGATATGCAGCCGGGGGGAATTCATCTCCTCAGTAGGGTCTATCAAGCTGAGAAGGAAACCGGCGTTTCTATCAGGTAGCTCAGTTAAGAGTAATCAAGACCAGGATCCATCACCATCTTGGTGTTAAACTAGTCACATTGTGGCAAATCTCTCTCTGATCCACAAGGGCGGCGATTGCCGGTGATAGTGACGACCTGGGGTAGACTTTGGTTAGGCTGGTCTCGGGATTCCAGGGAACCACGGTGGCTAAACCAGCAAAACTCCAATAACAATGGAAGTTATGCTGGGGCCCGCACAACCAGTGAACACGAGCCATCCATGTATCCAAGCATATTGAATTTGATATTTGTTCATGACTTCTGAGACAACTGCTCGTAATTCGGCAAAGAAGCGATTACTGTAACATCAGTAATAACGAACCTCAACCGCTCTGCTCCGTTCAGTGATTGAATGAACTTATTTGTGAGTGGAGCACGTTTCTCACTGAAAATATCAGTCGTGACTGAAAGTGCCAAAAATGTAGTAACAAAAGTGTAAAAGTATATTAACAAAATATAACATAAATAATAGAGTTAAAAGACTATATAGACCATATCGGGCAGTAAAATTTGATTTAAAAATGTAAAAAGCGGTTTTATTCACACAACGCACTATTTTCTTTATTGTAAGGTAGATCAAACGGCTTCTGTTGAATATTCACTTTTACCTTAAGAAACACTATAAAATAAAGCTTACAAAGCGTCGTACGATAGCTCGTTGTCGTCATAGCTGCGTAGTGCACTGTAATACCACTGTTCACAAACAGGAAAAGCTTAAGAGAAGAGAGCGGTTTAAAAATAGTGGTACAACAAAAAATTTTTAAAGGATAAACATCCTGTTCGCCGATTTCCAGTAGTGTTCATTACTGGGTTTTTGTACACCATATAGAGACGACGTTTGAAAATCTTGGAACACCTATTTACTGTGAACAATAAAAACCGGAACAAATCGAAGAACAGGCTGATATCATAGGTTTCATCTTAATTGATTGATTTTATTGATTATTTTCTGAGATCGTAATGGCATCCACATCTCGGTAGACTTCAAAATTTTGAAGCCTTGTTTCTTAAAAATGTTTTTTCACCTTGTGCCATATGGTGGAGTGGATTTTAACACACGTATTTTATACTTTTATATTCTTTTATCCGACAGGGCACCAGACATTATGTGGATTCGAGCAATTTTTGCATTCAAATCGTCTCTTCGTATCCATCATCAATGAAGTTGTTCACATTTTACTTATAGGACCGAGTTCTAATCAGGAACTCCCGGCCTCCTTTATAATTATCATCACATCGTGGTTGAGCAAATTGTTTTTGAAATCTTGGGATAGCCGTATTAGGGTGTTCCCAGATCTTCATTACACATAGTCTACAGCGCCTGTGGATTTGAATAAGCGAGATGGTCTATGGAAAGTGTGGTACCAATTTCAAGATTCCACTAGCATGGTGGATTTGTGGCCTGATGGTGAAAGGATGAAGCATGGACCTCCGTATACGTGCACAATGTTGTAAGCTTTCATTGTGAATTTGATGCACTTGTCTGAAGCTACCGCATTCACATAACGGGATGCGTTATTGTAGTTCTAAGACCTAGCAGGACCACCATTTTTACCGAAGGTGCTTTGGAATGAACTAAGAGTTTTGGTTCGATCACCGATATTTCAATACAGACTCCTTTGTTTAAACCGCATTGCATATTCGTCTGCAAAGCCAAGTGGATCTTTCTCTGATAGCTTGATTTTTCTCAAAGGATCTTCTTGTTCTGTTCTCCCTACTGCGTAGGTATGCGGCACGCTGATCAGAAAGAAAAAGGTCATTTTACTACTAACAACTTAATATACAACCGACTTCATCAAAAGAACACTACCGATTTGTGCCATTCTATTTGAGTGACGAAATCAAATCACAGATAAATTTTCTTCAGTTGCAGAAATTGAATTACTAGCAGTTATATTGGATTTTTTACGTTTTCTACATGACTAAAACACAAGGACACAAATTTACACCCACGTGGCAATTACATCAAGTTCCTAAGATTCGTGGTTGTTATCAAGAATATCAAGATTAGTTGTACACTGAACTGAGAAAATCACAAAGAAAATATCCTGGCTACCCATATCATACCCGTTGACCGGAGGTTCGCTGATTCTATTGATAAATAGAACTAGCGGAAAGACAGGCGAAACGAAGGTTCCGCATGGTGTGGAGGTGAACGCGTTACTTCCCGGAAAGGACAATAACACGTTCGTTCCCCACCGCAGACACCTGCGGTCCAGAGTTTTGCAAATATCTCAGTATGATTAGATATTTAACTTTATCTAAATTACTTAATACCAGTCTAAGTTGTATGACAAATACAAGGCCACTTACTGTAACGGAAAGTTGAGAACGGCGTTTCGTTTACCGTATCGAAGTCGACTGGCACCGTTAATCGCCGACGTGAATTCGCTCATGTCGCTTTTTTTATTGAGCGGTAAAACACTGAAAAAACTATTCTGTGTAAAAAGCTTTCAGTGAGAAAAAAGATAATGCCCTTTTTGACTCAAATATAATCCCAAATTATAGTTTGTAAAATTTGCGCTTAAAAATTCTGTTTCCCTTCCGACTTCCACTCTCACATCTTTGGACTTGAGCTGTCAGCCTCGAATGGGACTAAATCAGGAGTTATACTTCAGTATTATCCAGTAATTATCTATCCTTTAGTGCGCCCTATTTAGTACATGTGGGCAAAAGTCATTAGAAAATTGTGCCGAAAAAGAAACGAATGCGGGTTGCTGCAGGCTTGACCCGCTGCTCATTTTTTTGTGATTCTTCAATTAAATGTGTTTGGCATCTAGGTAGCATCTTTCCCTCAGAAGAAGGACTAAAAAGGCCATTCGTTTCTGTCTCTTATAAGATTTTTTGCCATGCAACAATAAAGTATCAGTGGAGAATTTTTTCATGCGAAAGGATAGCATATCTATCCATTATGGACGGAAGGTTGATTTTACAAAAGTAGTCAGTCCGTCAAGTTGAGCACATACGGTAATCGGCCGAAAAACCCTATTGGACGAAAAGCTGTGAAAAGTGGTACGTTAAGGATTAAATGGCAGCTTTCAGAATGCTCTAGTATAGCACGGTAACAGTGCAGACGGAGGAACACTTATTTACGGAAATGATTTTGCGTATTTCGCAAGAATGAGATTGGCTTGAAAATAAGTTGAAGTAAAGGAATATATGGGTTCATTTCCAACAATCGCAGCGACATTAGTGTTTATTATTTTTTTAAACCCATTTTGCTGGTTCGATCCCTTGCCTCTGTCTCACCAAGAGTGGCATTTCTCCGGGGTCGCCTAACTGCTAACAGACTTGTCTGGGAGGACAAAAACACTAACTTGGCAGATCGGTTAGCCCCAGTAAGCCATTGTGCTGACCAGGTATGCATTCAATCCCATCTATGAGGTTACGAATAGAGTCGAATTCATGTGGCATCCAATTGGAATTGATCAACGTATAATGCTTTACGCTTTATCTTTTACATATGTGTGCAGAAATACATACACACATAGATGCATACACACACATACATGCAAACACGCATGCATACATACATACATACATGCGTACATATATACATACAAACATACATACAAACATACGTACATATATACATATATACACACATGCATACATACATTCAAGTATACACATACGTTCAAACTCACACATGGATTCAAACACACACAATCAAAGACACAATATTAAAGTAACTAGACATATGTGTTTATATACATGTATATATTTCTGCGTCTTATATGTGAACACGTGCACGTATATCCACGAGCTTAGATCTGTTAAAGAGATCATTTCAGTAAATTACAATGCAGTTCCTTACGACGTTTTGAATTGTCCATGTCGGTACATCATGTAAACTCGCATTTATTGCTAATAATCCTAATTACGCTCCCTTGAACTATAAACTGCATCGGAATCGAAACAATGGATGCCGAGCCATTCAACAACACCATTAGACTTAATGTGCACAGCCATGAAATCAGATACTAGCATAACATTATTGCTGAGTAAACTAACTATAGGTGACTTTCTCAAATGGAATAGTAATTAGGAAATGTTCATGCTACGGTAGTTTGCAAATTATGTTCATTGATGTGCATCGATTTCCATGCATATGATGTGGAATTTGTAGCATCTTTCAACACTTAACATAAATTTCACAGCTCATAGTGACCTTTACCTGTGGTTACAAAAAAAGTTAGAAGACCATCTAGGATGATGATATATGCTGGGAAACAAGCGAATGCAAGAACTGCTGGGCTTCGCAGAGCGTGACGCATGGGATTTCAGATAACGTGGCAGTATTAGTAATAATAATAATAATAATAATAATAATAATAATAATAATAGCGTAATAATAGTAATGTAGATTTGGCCTTCCTAGATCAATCCCGTTGACGGGTGATTGCTGATGGCGCTGATAGAGCTAGCTGAGAGACAGTCGAAACGAAGGACCCTCTTGGTGTGGTGGTGAACACGTTACTCCCCTGAAAGGACAATAGCGCGTTCGTTTCCCACCCTAGACACCTGCGGTCCTGAATTTTGCAAAAATCTCAGCATCGTTATGGTTGTATCACACGTAATACCCGGCCATGAAAAATTATGGCAGGCTATAAATAAAAAAGTAAACATAATAATAATTCCATCGAAAATGTGAACAAAAATTGTCAGAAAGAGACAAGGTGATTGAATATTTTCTTAATACTACAGAAACTTTTAACTCAAGTCGTGAATAAGATAAACCATAAAGCGTTTGGCTCCGATCGGTTCCTAAACAGAAACTTACGGAAAGATAGTGATGTGAAAAGTCACTGTTTATGTCCTCCCAGAAATGCATGATAGTAATTTCTCAAACCGACAGAAATGGAGGCTTGTTAAGTCTACGCCGGGAGATCGAACCAATGTTTGTGTATTGCGAAGCACATCTAACCACTGCACCGCACGCATTAATATTTCAATAATTGATATTAGACAGTTAATTCGAACGATTAACAACGCTTTTCACAGCCATAATAATGCTGAAATATTGCTACAACTCAGATCTAAGACCAGATTCATCTTAACTAGGTTCAATGCCGACTTGCGCTCACGAGATCATTCTCGTTGACGGTGACAGCTGATGGCGCTGATAGGATAAGTACGAATGTCTGGGGTCTTAGTTTTGCAAATATCTCAGCATTGTTGCAGTTTTATTTTGCATGATAGCCTGCAAAAAGTTTACACCGTCCTTTACAACGTCCTAAGTGTGATATTACCATGATATTTCCTAATGAATATTTCTTGTCATTAACATAACCATAACCCTATCAAAGGTCTTAATCTTCTTATTTCGTTTTACTTTCTTTCGTTACTTTTTTTCACACTGCTTTCCGATTACCAATGACTACTATGTAACATAATAAAATCATCTACCTGGCGACAGCTATTGAAAACAGCAAGACAAAACAGAAAACCACAAGAGGTTGGCTTTGCATGACACCTGAAAAAATTAACAAAATTTCGAAATTTGCTTTACAAGCACTACGGTAGCTTCAGGGTACAGTACACAAGTACTAGCGATTTCGATATTATGGCGGACATGGCACGAACACGATACGAAAAGAAAAAAGCTACCAAAACGGTTAGCAGAATTCCGACTAACCCTTACGAGCAGGAAAAAAATGAGTTAACTAGGTAGCTTTTATTCATTGGCTTAGCTTGGAAATAAGAATTGTCCTTATAAATTACAGCGGTACTGCATAATTAATAATGGCTTTTGATGAAGATGTAAATGGAGAGTATATGAGGGTCGTGAGACTTTTGGAACATACGTGACCCATACAGCAATGTGTCAAAAAAACTTCTCTTAAGCTTCGGAATGGATATCGGCGTTTAATCAATACATATTGATTATCCATGCCGAGGTTAGAGAAAAGTCGGCTTCTGAAATATTGCTATGTTCTGTGTTACCTGTTAATTATATCCACCGCTGCGAGATGGATTGTCCAGAGAAAAACAAAACATAATCAACGGATAATGAGTATCAACAGCTGTCCTGTATGAAAAAGCACTGGTGACTGAGATCACTTCATTGTAGGTGTGCTCCACTCAATCTAACTTGATGCAGCCACGAAGACCCACATCGGAAAAAAACTGTGGACAATCGAATCGGATCATTCCCGCTCTTAGGAAGGTGGAGGCGCCGAGGCGTAGCCGAACAAGGCTTTTATCAACCTCTTGCTAGCTTATCCGAAACAATGCACACCGTTCTAATTTTAATTTTTAAACACCTGCTCTGTATAGTGCGTGCAGCATAGTGGTTAGAGGGTAGAATATAAGCGTGTAAATTGGTCGGGCCCGAAACAAACGAAACCCTTCGGAGTCAGCAAATTGGAGTCGGATTTGTCTAGGTGAAAACAATGACTTTGTAAATCAGCGGACTTAATAAGTCTTTGTATAAAGCTTACCGTATTTTCGAGCTCCTCTTCGATGACGGGAATGAAATAAAATCCATGGCAGGGTGCTCGTCGTGGGCGAAACGAACACTACGCTGTACAGAAGGATGAGCCAAAAGAAAAAACAAGTGTAGAAGAGATGAGAATATTCACCGAGTTGTACCTTAAGTTGGGTATTGTTGAGGAATCACGTCTGAGAGATTAATGTAGTGCGAATTCTGCTTTTTCGGGCCATCCTATTGCAACCACTTTTATAGGGAGAAACAGACTTTAAAGTTCGTTGGCAAACCCACATGTCGATGACGCAAGGTGTAACTGACAATTCAGGTTGTATGAGATTAGGCCACGAATAAATAAATTTTCTCCAGCTTATCAAAACCGTAATGATGGAGAGCTCTAACCAGAAAAAGCTTTCCGTATACAAGTGATCAAATTTCGGCCTATTGTCTACTTTTTTAGAAGGGCTGGTAGGGAGATGGAGTGCGCACAATGCTGTCTATTTACAGTCTATTCATATCGTCTTTTACCCATAGTTGAGATACACACGTACTTTACCTACTTGATCACTCAAACGTGCGTGTTGAACGCATGGAAGGATACAATGTGCTCATGCAAGAAATCTCGTTGTATGACTTCAACACAGTTGTCTACTGGAGCTGCATTGGAGACGGGACTGTTTCGATCCCTCCTATTTCGTTCATTTCATTAAAGAAAGCTGTGGTTAGAACAAAAGCAAATGATATGTGAGTTGTTTCGAGGCTATTAGAGAGCGCTATAATCGAAATCACGCTCATATCAGAATGAGGGATACAACTAGATGCAGTCGTTGTAAAAAAATATTTTATCCATGAATGCGTCAATCCACTTCATACTACGCGTACGTCACTTGTACGAAATTCTATTTGAAGACTACTTATTGTAGGGAAGAATCATTAGTTTTGCATAAAAACTTCTGATTGTAAGTGGAAACTGTAATTCCTTTAGAGTAGGCAAAAATGACTTCTGATTGGCCTCCGTAGATCTTGATTGCAGGCAAGGAATGCAAGACGCTAATATTATTGTTGCTGAAACTAGTTATTACTCTCAAGTTTTCCGATACAGGATATTGTAAATTTCATCCCACAAACTAAATTTGGAATAAAAGAGCGACGAGAGTTGATAAACATTTAGAATTACAAACTGAATTGAATTTTCACCACAATGATGCTGATATGTATTCTTTCTTGATAAGCTTGCACGAGGCTGATAAATATATTTATTTTCGGCTAACGTTTCGACTTCTTCGTCTTCCTCAGAGCCGATGATCCGAGTCGATGGTCCATGATTGTTGATCGTCTCGACGTTGCAGCTTCGCCTTCGTGTCGAGCCAGGTCTTCCTCAGTGAGCCATCTCCTCGAATGAGGCATCCTCACTCAGTGATGCCCTTTTATACACGATGCTGATGGTGGATATATAATGATAATGTCCGGTGGTAACAACTTGTGTTTCTTCCGGGCATACAGCATTGCGCACATCGTGCAGAAGTCGGTGTTTTTATCAGCTAGCACAAAGCGTAAAAATAATATTTCGAAACCGACTTTCTCTAAACCTCGGTGTGACTAATCAATATGTATTCTTTCAATATGTAAAAAAAAGATGCTGAGATAGTTCCCAAGATCGACTTTCTATTAACCTCGGTATTAGATTATAAATATCTCGTTTTCTTTTTCAGCAATCGCGAGGTTGTTATTCAGCATGCGTTTACTTCCATACAAATAGAACACATACAACACAACGGTAGCTGACGTTTCGGCAGAATCGCCTTCTTCAGAGCCGCTTTTTCTCCTGTCTTCCACCACGGAAGGCAGGCGTCAACTATATGTGATTCTGAGCCGCTGTTCTTCCTCCGTGGAAGATAAGGGAAAAAGCGGCTCTGAAGAAGGCGATTTTGCCGAAACGTCAGCTACCGTTGTGATGTTGACATGTCCACAAAATAGTCCCTAGGTCTGGTTCAGCTTAACTGGTTTAATGCCGATTTGTGCTCTTAAAATCATTCATGTTAACAGGTAATTGCTGATAGCACAGCACCGGCAGGATAAAAATCTGACACAAAGCATGGCACCCGGTGATGCAGTGGATAACACGTGAATTCCTGGAATGGGCGAATGGGTCGAATCTGGCCTGGATGAACTTAATTAAACTGAAGCTGTAGTAGAAATCACAATGTTAACGTTTTATTTACTGCCTATTATAGTTTTTCATGCCAAGGTATTTCGTGTGAAAGAACCCCAATGATGCTGAGCTATTTGCAAAACCCCGAACCACAGGTATCTGTGGCAGGGAACGAACGCTCTATTACCTTTTCTGGGGGCTACCGCTCTCACCACCACACCACGACGGTGCCTCCTCTCGCTTGTCTCTCGGCTAGTTCTATCGATCAGCGTCGTCAGCAATTACCTCTCAACGGGATTGAACTAGGGAGCCGAAATAGGCAACGAACATGGTTAAACTGACGTTGTGGTCGAACGCGTTAGCCCCCAGACAGTGTTATGCGCGTTCGTTCCCCACCGTAGACACCTGCTGTCCGGAGTCTTGCAAACATCTCAGCATCGCTGTGGTTGTTTCACACGCAATACCCTGGCGTGAAAAATTGTAATAGGCAGTAAATAAAATGTCAACATTATCTCAAGATCATCGTGGTTATATTTAATATAGCACCCTGCAGTGAAAAAATGAAAGGCAATAAGTAAAAATTTAAACAATGAGTTGAATTTCGTTGGTGACCGCATGTTTATTCAACCCGAGCCACGATTTAGAAACCTCCTCATTGATCTTATCATAATCTTATCATGGCGAAAGGCTCTCACTAAATGCCGCATTCCAGTGTTTAAGCAGAGGCGTTTCTTAGCCTCCGCACTGCTCAACCTGTCCATGCCGCATACTCTCCTCAACAGAGCAATGCTCTGTCGCCACCAAATGATCTCGTCCAAGGAGGAATTTCTGCTTATCGAAAACAGCTTTTCATGAGCCACTGCTGATATCGGATCTACGTTTGGCACACTAACCATAGGATAGAAAAACGTCGGTAAAGATTTCTGGAAACCACAAAAGAAGCATAATACAACATAGTGTAACAAGGTCTCCTAAGAGTTAAGAAGAGTGGTGTAGAGGAGTTAAAGAATAAGTCGCAAAAACCGCTTTACCACTACTTAAAAATAATGTCTGAAAATGCTATTTCATTAAAATTTCAAACTTTCCAATAGGTTTGATGGAAATTAGGGTCTAATCTGAAGCTGCGCTTTCAATGTGGGAAATGTTAGCTCAGAACAAACTTTAATTGTCGAAATAAATACCACTAGAATTTACTCATTTTTGTAGACGAGGTACACGTCATACCGGCTGCATGGAATTCTTCGCTTCTGGAGGAAAACGAGGGAATTTTCGACGTCGGCTCGGCTTCCGAACACCCGCACAGAAAATCATGGAGATGCTCGAAAAAGTGGTAGTCGATGAATAGTTGATGAAACAAAGTTTTGTAGCCCATGCCTTACAAGTTTTCACGCATCGATAATGCATCGTATCTGGAGTGCAGCAGTTGAAGTTTCTGATACATTCTATAGGTTTCCTGAACGTGCTTTTGCGGCATTGTCGTTTCACTCCGATTGAGAAAGCTGTAATGAACCAATGATCAATGTCACTATGACCTTCCTTCGGTGCAATTTCGGCTTTGGGAAGTGCTGCGGAGCTTCATGGCGGTCCATAGATTGAACCTCTTGTACTCGGCTATCAAAGAGAATCAATTTCTTGTTTCACGCCATAGTAGGGTAGGTAAACGAGTCGTACTGATTGTGCAGATAAAGTGCTAACGATGCATCAAAATTGGATTGCTTTGGTTTATATTCAGTTCGCAGACATCCATTTTTCGAGCTTCTTCGATCTTCAACTCTTCGTCTGATTTTCCAAATCGGTTGAATGCTACTTACAGAGAGTCGTTATGCAAATGCTCGAAGAGATTCGCAGTATTTGTTTCCACCGTGCTTTCAATTTATCGCCCTCAACAG